CATAACAAGTTCCTGTGTATTTACCACGCAGGCCAAAACACAAAAAACAACCGAAGCAACCCCCTTGGTACATCTCCCTGATTCCATTCCCTGTGGTTCATACTGGTGGGAATATTACTTGGACATTAATTTAGAATATGGATCCAGAACCCTTAAATATTCACAACCTCTGATTTAGTAGTAATTCTTGTTTCTGGCAATCTGTCTTAACAAAATAAACTAAAATAAGGGTTATCTTTGTAACATTTTTAAAAACATTTTACCATCTCTGAAATTTAGGTGTTTCTTACAACTGAGGGGATTTTACCCTAGTTAGCAAGTTTTTTCTTTCTTTCTTAGTGCTATACAAAGTATATGATTTAGAGCCAATGGCTTCTTAGATTTGATGAAATGCAGTCTTTGGCTATGAAAATGTTTGCAAAGAATGTGAAATAAAATGGAAATGTTGTTAAAAACAGTACCCCATACTTATAGAACTATTTAAAAGCAAACAAAACACAAGTACACAAAACCTATGCATAGAAAAAATAATTTACAAAAGTTAATGGTGATTGTCTCTGGGTAATTGGCTTATGGATGTTAAATTTTCTTTTTCCTTCAAATTTCCTGTTTTTTTTCCCGAACTTTGTTTAATAGGCCATGTAAATGCTTTTATAATGGAAACACCTTCTCATAAATATTTTTAATGACTAAACAACTGTGTTTTAAAGTTCAAACTGTGGAATATCTGATCACCATGTCTTTTCAAAGCATTAGTCAAACAAATATGATTTCTGTTACTTTGGCTATGAAATTTCATAAAGGGTAGAACTTGGCTCAGAATCTGGAGAGAAAGCCAAAAAAAAATTATTCAGCTCTGCTCCCAGGGAACTCAGGCCCTGTAGACTTTGTAGTAGATTTTGGCAGCATTCCCTTTTCTAATACACAGTAAAATACTTCATATTCCTAACTTATGTGTGAGCGTCATTAAAGATGGCCCAAATTCAATCACTCGAGTGAGTCATCTGAATATGTTCAGTGACAAAAGTGCAGAGGAGTGTTTATAGGGGAAGAGGAAAGGGGAAGCTAGGAGAAATGGTCATTTGGGACATTCAATTCCCTTGTTTTTATTCCTTAAAATATTTAAAGGAAAATAAATGTCTATCTCTAAATGGCTAATGAGTATTTCCAGGCCTTTATGTTTAACCTCCAATTGTACTCTTCAAAAATAGTTCTAATTTCAAAGGTTTCCCACAGAAGTTTAAGAGAGTGAGCAATTTATCTCTGAAGCCAAGAAAAATATCAAGATTTCCATAGGTAAAACTATAAAAAGTAACCAAACTAGGGGTGCCTGGTTGGCTCAGTAGTTAAGCATCTGCCTTCAGCTCAGGTCATGATCCCAGGGTCCTGGGATCAAGCCCTGCATCAGGCTCCCTGCTTGGCAGGAAGCCTGCTTCTCCCTCCCCCACTCCCCCTGCTTGTGTTCCCTCTCTCGCTGTGTCTCTCTCTGTCAAAGAAATAAAATCTTAAAAAAAAAAAAAAAGTAACCAAACTTCTAACTCACTGTAACAAAGCCAACTCAAAAATGAGCCTTCTTTCCTTCCACATAAGTTTATTTTACAATCAACAATGAGTGAGAGAGGAACATTTCCAAAATTTTCTTAGAGCTTGCTAATTTAAACTTAAGCCATAAGTACATTCTCTTAAATTAAAAAAATTAAAATAAACTTAGCACTACATTAAAAAAAATCACAAAAGTTCAGGAACCACCATTCTTTCATCTGCATTCCAAATAGAACTCACAGAAATGATATAATCAAAGTGCATCTGTGGCAGATAACTGGGCCTGTAAGATTCATTTTTAAAAAACTAATGAAATGCAGGTTACATTAGTGTATACATTTGTCAATATTCATTAAACTATTCTCTTTAAATCGGTGGATTTGATTTAAGGTATATTTTAAAACTGAAAAAGTATACCTACAGGTTCTACTGTATTTGTGATATCCAAGTAGTCACCTCTCCCCCCACTGACAATGTCATAATTTAGAAATGCCTTCACAGAGATAATAAATTACAAAGCACATCATTCTAGTTATACATGTTATGACACCAAAGTCATTATAGAGCATGTATGTCAAAGTATCATCCAATCAATGTCTTCTATCCTTTAATGATTCTATTTTTTTTAAAGATTTTATTCATTTATTTGAGAGAGAGTGCGAGCGAGAGAGCAGCAGAGAGAGAAGCAGACTCGCCACTGAGTAGGGAGCCAGATATGGGGCTCGATTCCAGGACCCTGCAACCATGACCTGAGCTGAAGGCAGCCATTTAACAACTGAGCCACCCAGGCATCTCAATGTTCTATTTTTAAATACATATGCTAAATGTAATTAGAAGGCACCATAATTAAATATTTCACTAGAAAACCTATAGGAATGAGTGAAAATCTGTAGACAATGAAGTATAAATAAGGACTTCCACTGATCATTCTTTTTCTTAGTTCAAAATGACTAAGAATGATTTTGTTTTTATAAGTTTTATTAATATAGTGTGAAAGAGATCTTTACTAAAAATGGACAATTTACATAGAAATAGAAAACTCATGAGAAGTTTTAATGCATCCTCATTCATCTGGAAGCCTCAGTCAGATTTACATCGGAATAAAAACTCTTTTATAAGAAGAGAAACCCAGGTCCTTGGGAACTACTCCTGAATTCTAATGTATTATAACTAGTGAAATAATTTAAAAATAGAATTAGTACATGAAGTTAGGAAGACATACAACTGCTAATTTATTTGTTGTTATAATACTAGACATAAATAATTATATAATTATAATTATAAATAATACTAGACTACTATTCCAGGAGAAATCACCAGTAACTTCATTCATTAGGTTCATAGTGATTCTGCTGACAGCTCCAGTCACTTGTCAGAGCTAAAATTTTCTACATCTACTATTAGTGATTGTCAATGAGTGATAATTCTAGATTAGAATTTCACAATCTCAATTTATAGCAGAGGTCTGAAGCTAGGTCAGTGTTTGCAAAAACTAGTACTGTAATCAAAGACTTCAGAAATGGGTGATAAACATAAAGGCAATGGCTAGAAATAAGCCTAGAGCAAGGAAAATAAAAATCGCGAATTGTAACATGAGATTAGATCTCATACAGGGTGTGCAATCAACCTTGGAAGCTCTTTAAAGTACCTAGAAATCCTGTTTATAAGCATCCTTCCAAAAACCCATCCATCTCATAAATCTGCTTTTCTTCAAGCATTAATATCTAGGATAAATAAAAATGTTTTATTCAACATAATTGTTTTTACATTTGGTTTCGTTACTAGAATTGATTTCCTACTATTTTTCAGGGTGGGAATGGTTTTTCTATAGTGTGACTAAAATAATTCTTTGGCTATAATAAAAGTCAAACAATCATTTGTTAAATTATTTTCCAGGGAAGATGGGTCCCAAATTCCCAACAACCCACTCACAATAAACTTCTGAAGTACAAAACATTTGTAAACTGGGAATGACTTATTCTTTACTGTCATATTTACATTCCTATGGGCTTAAGAAATGATGCCACCACTAAGGTAATACCAATGACTTAATAGTTTAAAATAAAAAAATTATTCAGACAATTGTGAAGCTATGTGCAAATCTTCCATGGGTCTAAGACCGAGTATGGGAACTTCTGCAAAGAAGAAAAGTTGGTTTGTGATATTATCTTTATTTTATTTACTTTTGATTTTAAGTGCAAGATATCGGTCTGGAAAAGGTTTCCCAAGACCAGCTGAGTTTCTTCTCATACATAGGTGAAAGGCATTTAAAAAAAAAAAAACAACGCACAAAACAAAACCTGTTCTACAGGCTTCTGTATACATAGAGGAAATACAGCCATTTTATAGACTATGTCCAGTGTAAAACCCTTTCGATATGTTTACTGACACTCTCTTGAAGTTTTCATTTCAGTTAAGTTGTTCTGCCTTAAAGGATTCACTTGAATCACTAACTAAGGACGTATTTTTTGATGCTGGCAGAGAGTAAATTAGAAACTTTGCTTAGAATGGTACATCTCTATGCAGTGACTCAGTTTAGCAGCTAACAATACATATTTCCCTCCTCCCACAGAGGAATGATTACGTGTCTTCCACTGATGCCTTTTTTTAAAAAGACATAAAAAATTAGTATACAATGTCCTATGTTAATACTATACAAATAAAGTTGCTCTTGGAATGTGAATACATATTTTACAAGTTTATTTTTCTTTTCTCTGCTGTATTGCTTGCATACATATATGCATATGGCTATAACAGTTCTTTAGCCGAAAAACAAGGTTATATGAGAGCCTGGTATCAGCTATAACAACAAAATAACTGTTTGAATCCTTAATTTGAAACCCATGTACATTCATTTTGTATCAAATGGTAAATTTGATATGTAAATTATCTAATTTTTATATTCATTACAGAACTTTGAAAAAATCATGTGTCACTTATTGGATCTAACAGAAGCATTCAATGTTTAAATCATATGTCCTTTTAATTAATGGTATCACTAACACTTCTATTTGAATTATGAGAGAATGGTGTAACTTATAATAATTGAGAATACCAAACGTCACAACGATAATTTTAAATCTGACAATAGACAGAAAGAGGTAACTTTTGAATTTTCAGGCAGTTGAAAAGGAAACACGAAAAATAGTATACTGCCACTATTTTATTTTTGGAAACTCTTTGTAAATAAAAACCCATTTCCAAAATAAGATATTCCATGGACACAGAATAGTTGGTAATGGTTCAAGTGCCTTAGGCAACAGAGAAGTATTGTTTTGTAGTTGTTGTTTTTTTAAACCTCTCCTAGTAACAGCAGTTCATCATGCACAAAGAAACAAGGTAACAACATGATTTAAAATGAATATATAAGCAATACTATAAAACCTCAATGAAAACTGAAGTTTACCATATTAATTCCATTTCTATGAACTGGGATAGATAACCTGGCTGATACTCACCGAATGTTATAGAAATGTCCAGGCTTGTTTAAGCAACAAAAAGTAGACACATGGTAAGGTGCTGAAGACAGCTCTCTCTTGGGCTCAAAGCACTTTACATGAAGTAGCTTTATCTTCCATTTAACAGAGGGTGCCTCCTGTTACCAAAAGTGCTGCAGAGAGGAGTTTCCACAATCCCGTCTTGACTTTCTCTCTCTCTTTGAAGAGTAACAGTTACCAACCGGAAAACGTTAGCAGAAAATGATCACTTGAACACTCGCACAGGGCAGCTGTAAATTTCCACTCTCTTTGCTTGCTCTCAGATTCCAAGCCTTGCTTGTCTCTTAATCTGTCACAGGCAGTTCTGTTTCTGGTCAGACCAGCTTGCTTCTGCTTTCTCCTCTCCCTCTTAAACGCACTCTTTCAGATACATACCACACAGTAACAGCTCCCTCTTTTTCTTCCTCCCTCCCAATTGTGCGTCACAAGAATGTGTGTAAAGCAATTACACTGAGGCAAATTGGAAATCTTGCTCCCTCCCCCCAAAAACATCTAGGGATAAACAAAATATTTTTCTCACCGCATTTTCCCCTCTCAGTCCTATAGTTGCTCATGTATGGAGTTTTGTCCACAGATTAAAATGGCCTGACAATGCTTTTTTAAAATGTAAATAAAAGTTTCTAACAAAGGTGTGTTGATAGTGATAATAATGGCTTCATTTGCTAATATGTTAGTTTCTCAGGGAAGATGCTGATTCCCAATCATAATAAAAGTGTAGCAAGGAAATACTCAAGTACCATGAATTTAATCTTCAGATTTCAAAAAGCAAGATTTTAAAATTAAAGTATTTATAACTTAAGTGTGTGAAAGTTTAATGTATTTTAAAATATGGCATATTTTGACACTTAGATCCAACATTTGCAGTTATAAAAGGGAAAATTACAAAGAACATAGAAAAATACTGACACCAAAAATATCAAGTAGAGCAGCTTATACTATTTATGTGCAAACCAAATATGATTACTTTGTTTAGAAGTCCTCCTCCCTCCACATACACACACACAAACATTGGTCAGGATGCATAATATCTCTTCAGTGAGAATTTAAAAGGCTTAGGAGTATTAAAAAAACTTTTTTCATTATTACACATGTATAATTAATTATAAAGTAAAATACCTTAAAATTATGGATCTCTGAAAAATTTGAGAATGAGGAATTAGGTAGAAAACTGAGTGGGATGGTTGGTGATGACAGGCTTAGATGGCATTTGTAGAATTCTCTGGAATTAGGAGGCAGTGTAACTCAGCTTGGAATACACGCTGACCCTGTGAGAATGCTGGTCAGAGCCTGCTTTAGAGTTTTCTGTTCCAGTCCCATAGCCCCAAAGACTTTCAGGTTCTCAGTCTCCCACTATCTGTTTCCAATCAAAATTCTCAGACTCTTCTTCTGATGACAGATCTCTCAATTACAGAACTGACAGAAGTTAGTAGACCTATTATGTTTTAATCTTATTCTCTGCAGAACTAAAGCATCCCTAAGAATATAAGCTTAAATAATGTGCAAGGCAAAAATCTATAAATAATTGGTTATTACCCTTAAGAAAAACAAGCAAACAAATAAAGCTTGGCTTTATTTCTTAATCTATATATCATGTGTTTAATATATATTCCCTAATATACACATATATTTATTTAAAAATATGTACTTCTTAAGGTGGTTCATTTAAAGTGAGTTTTATTTATTTATTTTTAAAGATTTTATTTATTTACTGAGAGAGAGAGAGAGAGATCATGAGGTAGGGGGAGAGGGGCAGAGGGAATCTCAACTGGAATCTCAAGCAGACTCCACACCGCGCCGGAGCCCAGAGCTGGGAGCCAGATGAGGGGCCATCTCACAATCCGAGATCATGACCTGAGCCTAAATCATGAGTCAGGTGCTTAACTGACTAAGCCACCCAGGTGCCCCTAAAGTAGATTTTTAAAACTTAAATATATTATAAGGTAATTTGGTTCTTAACACCTAAGAAATAGGCACCAAAGAAGACTAGAAATTAGTCTGCCAATTATTCCTTTAATTTGTAGTTCTGTAAAACTTAGAGTTTTATTTCCTACTTAAAAAGATATTAAACAGATATTATCTTAAATCACCAGGGGGTGATTAGTAGTAAGTGCCTTGTATCTTCCTGAGTCCAAGATTACATTCAAAGTGTTCTGGTATACCTGAAGAAATTCAGAATTAGTAAGGATGGTGCTTAGAATAACCACGAGGTTAATTTTTTTAAGTCACTTTAACACTGGGAGATGTTATTATCAATCTATGATTCTAAGGCACAAAATAAAGACAAGGTATTCAAAATATACACTAAGACTGACGAACATGATTGTATGTGTTTATATTTGATTTCTACCAAATACCACTTTTTAAAATGCATGCAAATAAGTCACAAAAAGTGACCATATATTAACCCACACAAAAAAAATCAATAAATTTCCAAAGGGGAATGGTACAAGCTTCATCCTCTGAAAGCAAGATGAGAAAACTAAATTATTTTAAAAATATTTAACATATAAGCAAATATGCTTTAACCAACCCTATTAATACTTGAAAATCTATTTATTTATTTATTTTTAAAGATTTTATTTATTTATTTGACAGAGAAAGACACAGCGAGAGAGGGAACACAAACTGGGAGTGGTACTGAGAAGCAGACTCCCCGCCGAGCAGGGAGCCCGATGCGGGACGCGATCCCAGGACTCCAGGATCATGACCTGAGCCGAAGGCAGTCGCTTAACCAACTGAGCCACCCAGGTGCCCAATACTTGAAAATTTTAAAGTACATTCTTCTAAAAATTATTTGAAAAGAGAAATTAAGAAGTACAATTATAGTGGACTGTAGTCTGTTTCAGGATATGATGAAGTAATAGGGACTGAATTTACTCTTCTGCCTTACATAACTTAAAAACTGGGCAAAATATATAAAACAATGGTTTTTAGACACTGGACACCAGGCAGCTCAGCCCAGTAATACCTGAGAAAAGGGAAAAAAGGTGATTATTGCCCCAGGCTGCAGAGCAGGAAGGGGAGCCCAAACAGAGCGTAGTAGTTTTCCTGAGTTAAAGAGACAAGGTTGAGAATTCAAGAAGGCCAATGTGACTGAAATTCACAGGGCAGAATACCAGAGGGGAGAGTTGCAAAGAGTCCCAGAGATCGGCAGAGGATTCTCTTCAAATCTTCATCTGAGACCTGATTAGCACATCTGTGAGAAAACTCCGGAAGACAGGAAAAGAACCAATGGAAAGAATCAGGCTGAAGAATTCTCAGTATTCACATAGGACTGGAAACAGTTCTTGTTCCCAACAGCCAGAGTGAAGAAATCTCATAATATATGGGAAATTGGGTTGAATACTCTGAAAGATATTGCCTTGGCAGTGGGACCAAATTAGCCCTAGATTAAAAGTTGTTCTGGTCCTTCCTTATAGACCTTACAAGTTAAGTCCAGAAAGGATAAAATTCTTTCTAAATAAATTAACTGCCTCCTAGAGTAGAATTCAAAAATATCTAAAGGCATTTTTAGAAATGTAGCACACAGCATAAAATTCATAATGTCTGGCATCCAGTCAAAAATTACTAGGCATGCAAAAAACCAGGAAAATACAATAAGCCTTTAAAATAATAAATAATAAATAAGCTACTTCTATGAGCTAAGGTAATAATAGCAAATTTATTTATTGAAAAGACTTGTTTTCCTTTTTGCCTAGCTAGTGATCATTTATTTCATGATAGAGTGATCATTTGTAACATGCAAATATGCAGTTTTCCACCAATGCTTCCTCCAAGAATTTTAGTCTTCACTGATGATCCTTGCCTAAATCAATCATTTCATCAGGGGTTAAAAACTGGTCATTTAAAAAATTCTGTTCTTTTCTGCTATATTGGCTGACTTGTTTTGTAGAGAAGAGCTTCTCCTCAACTAGACTTCTAATTGAAAAAGAATGATAATGGCTTCCTTTAATTACCAATTTTGAGAGTAACAGCTGGTAACATTCTCTTCCAATGGTGGCAAATAAAAGATTATTTTTGGTGAGTCTTTCTCTTCTTTTGAATATCATTCAAAATGGTTCATAAATCTTTATATATTCCATGTTTCAATAAATTACAGGCATTATTCTTTTTGATGCCATGCTTCTAGCTTGGGTTCCCCAAGAAAGTTGGATCTGAAGCAAAAGCCTTATGGAATATTATTTTTAAAAGTAATCCAATTACAATGAGCAGGAGTGAGGGACAAGGGGAATAAAGCAAAGGAGGGAGAGCCAATATGACAATGCATTACCAAGCTGGCCACCTGTTTAATCTGTCAGATTGAACCTCTTAGAAGCCATTTAAGCTGCATTTCAGGACCACCACTAAGGTGGGAGGAGAAAAGGGAGGAGAAAAATTTACTCACTGGCTTCATTTTCCATTGATCAAAGGCTTTCCCAAAGGGTCATTAATTCCCCTAACACTTGAGTTTAACTCCTCTGTACTTCCAGGTTGCACAGGTGTGGGTCTTCCCTATGGACACTGCAAAAAGCAAGCGGCTTATAGAACATGAGGAAATGAGGCAGTGTGTGGTTATTATACATACACAAGAGTTTGCACACAGCTGAAATGAGAAAAGCGAATCCTAGAGGATATGCAATGATATATAAGAGGTATCTGTAATAATTGTGCAAATGTTCCCAGATTTGGACAGTGGAAGTCCTTTAAAGATACTTCCTGCATCCTTTTGATACAATTCCATTAATCTTTGAATTTTTATTGCTTTCTAGTTCAACAAAATGTCCCAGCCTCACTTTGTATTTACTCTGTCCCAGATCTGGAATGAGTCATTTCTCCAGGGAGCCCTAGTGCTTTTTAGTGAGGTTTGGGTACCAGGCATACTCACTGCTACTGACATGTCACTGCTTCCAGACCTTTCAGTGATCAAAGGTAGCAAATAAGTTTTAAAAAGTCATTAGTTTATACTGATATTTCAATTCTAATTTATCATTACAGAGTTTCAACTCTACTTTTTTAAAATTTTATATTCATCTTCTCTTACATAAAAATTTTGGTTCTAGTAACACATTAACACAATGATGTGTTTGTCTTTCAATATATCTAATAAAGATTCAAAATAACAATGCCAAAATTTCTAACAGTAAAACTAATAAATGAAGTTTAAATAATTCTTGGCAGTTAACTGCTAATTTAACTTGTAAGGTACTGGTAAGCATATATGACTACCATTACATTAGAGAGTTCTAATGTCAAAATGTTAAATTAGTTTACCTGTTATGAAATCAAAACTTCTATTTTACATTGTTAATTCACAATTGAAAAATTTCCATAGAATGAGATTTTAATGTTTTATTATTAGATGGAGACTTTAACAACCCATAAATAATGTAGTTCCATGGAGGTGTCTCAGTTATTGAGAAAGCAGAGAAGAAAGTTAAAAATGTAAATGATACATATAGATCAAGCTGTGGCCAAATGACATCATGGTACACTAATAAGCAATGATTCTACAGTAATTCAAATACAAAAATGTGGTGGAAAAAAATTTTTATCACTATGTGTGATAGTATAACTATGCAGAATTCCAAATTAACTCCTCCACCTTAGCAGTCATATTCACATTATTGAGTACCCTAACACTTAGATTCCATCTTGAAATGTATCTACTGCATCACTTCGCTAGTTCTAAGTATTGTAACTAGTTACAGAATTTTTTAAGGCACATTATTAAATTGACTAGTCCATCAAGGGGTGCCTGGGTGGCTCAGTTGGTTAAGTGTCTGCCTTCGGCTCAGGTCATGATCCTGGGGCCCTGGGATCTTGGGATCAAGACCCAGTAGAGCTCCTTGCTCAGCAGGGAGTCTGCTTCTCTCTCTCCCTCTGCCCCTCCCCCATGCTCTCTCTCTGTGTCAAATAAATAAATAAAATCTTTTAAAAATAAAGATTTAATAAAAATAAAGATTTTATTTATTTATTTGGCACACACACACACACAGAGAAAGCACAAGTAGGGGGAGCAACAAGGGAGAGGGAGAAACAGACTCCCCGCTGAGCAGAGAGCCCAATGCAGGGCTTGATCCCAGGACCCCGCGACCATGACCTGAGCCTAAGGCAGATGCTTAACTGACTGAGCCACCCAGGCACCCCAATAAATAAAATCTTTTTAAAAAATTGATTAGTCCATCAAAATAACACATTGGTGGTTTAAAAAGTTTACTGTCAACAGTAACAATAATTGCCACAAAAACTGGTTTATCGTGTTCAAAAATATCAAGATCCTAACATGTAAAATACTAAACACAAATATATGTTTTTATGCTTTATTGGCAATTTAGTGGTATCTATTGGACTAAATTATTGTTAATTTTACTTTATTGGTTTTATAGAGTTGTTTATGTTTAATGAATGTTTGTTTTTATTTACATAGAGAAGCCATAGGAGAAAGTTAACTAAAACAATTGGACTGCAAGTGACAGACCCAATGCACATAAGTTTAGCAAAAAGGGAACTTAAGAATCATGTAACCAAAAAGCCTAGAATTAGATCAGGGGTTATCACCTGGGGAAGCATCTAGTGGGGAAAGGCCAGAGATGCTACTGAACATCCTAAAATCAGAGAACATCCTCTCTCCTAACAACGAATTATCCAGCCCAAAGTGTCAACAATGCCAAGGCTGAGAGACCCTGGATCAAAGCTAACTTCAGCCCACGCTTAAACAATGTCATTGGAGCCCCTTGCATTGCTTTCTTTGGTGCTTCCTTCATTCATAGTTGGGCTCTTCCTATATGGTGGCACAGATTACATGCCCTTGGTTCCCATGATCTCAAAAGAAGTGAAGCCCTTGGGCCTCTCTTTCAATAGCTACATCAAACCTGAAAAATGACTTTGGTGCTGCTAGTTCAGGTAACCAACTGTTAATAACCATATGCATAAGAATGGGGTACACTTATTAACCAGCTTGGCTTCTGAGTGTGTTAGCATTAGTGCAAAGAGATTGACAGGCCTGTAAAGCAAAGTGAGAATCTCACTATGAAAGAGCAACTTCAAGTCAAGAGTCATTAAGTGAAATGTTGGGTGAGATTATTTTGCACTATGATTGAACTTCAAAGCATAGGTAGTTGGATTCACTCAGTTACATTTGTGTATTATATAAAACCATTCCATAAAAAAGTTCAACCTGGTTGCTCAGCATCTACATCTACCCTTTTCCTACATCTATACTTTCAACAATAGCCCTGTCTAACATTGGGCAAGGTTTCCAAATATAACTAACAGTGCACTCACCCTTGCTCAAACTTGTTCACCGCCTCCAGCTCCAATATCTCCGTTGAGTATATGCTTCTCAATCAAGTTTGAAGCAGCTCCTTAAGGTCTATCATCCTATGGCTCAATTATAAATTTAATCCTCCCACACCAAGACATCTAATAAACAAGGCAAAGTAGAAAAATAGATACCGGCAATAAAAACTTCTGCATGAAAAAAGGGAGGTAAAGAAACATCAATTCATAATATGTATGATACTTTGCTGGACAGGAAGAAAAAATGAGTTCTTTAGTTACTAAATTGATTGCCCAATTCTAATCTCTAATCTCTGGGAGAATCTCCCCTATCAACCCCAAAATCATACTGAGAAGGTCATTGCGGATGGTAGTCCTGAGTGGGAGCTTTCCTGCTGAAGCAGTCCACTTGTTTTGGAATCACAAATTGGTTTATTGATAACCAATAAAGGAGCCCCAAAGCAAAGAACCTGTCTCCCTGCAGGAGAATGGGAGTTTCCAGGGAATGGGAAATCATAAGCCTTTATTTCTTAGACTTCAATATTTTTGACAATACAACTGTCTTAGATTTTCTTTGGCTTTAATCATTCTGTTTCTTGTTTTCTACTAACCAAAAGTCAGAAATTGGTGAATCTGGACTTGTTATTGTGATTTTTTCTCTAACTGGCTTCAGTGCTCTGTCCATTACTCAAGCCCCCAGGTCAAACTGCTTCTTCCAAACAAATGAAGGTAAACCTGCCCCCTTAAAACTAGGATGCATCCCAATAGACTGCTTTGCATTCTTGGGTTGGCCACTACCTTTGCCAAGGGAGAAGTAAAAGATGCTTGGCTCTTCAGGCTTCTCCTAGGTTCCGATCATATCTTTTCTTTCTAATCACATCTTTTATACCTTCTTATTTTATCTTCTCCTAGGTTCTTTCATATCTTTCTCAACTTTCTGTCTCCCTGCTTTTACTCATAATAATTTAGCTTAGGCCTGTGATCACACTAGAGAGATAAAAAGCAAGGAACAGTGGGTTTGGAACTCAATATTCAAAAATTTCATCAAAGACTTTTTTTTTTAGAAAAGGTAGGAACCTAATAAAAACCGTTTTATGGGGTGCCTTGGTGGCTCAGTCGTTAAGCATCTGCCTTCAGCTCAGGTCATGATCCCAGGGTCCTGGGATCGAGCCCCGCATCGAGTCCCGCATCGGGCTCCCTGTTCAGCGGGAAGTCTGCTTCTCCCTCTCCTGCTGCTTGTGTTCCCTCTCTCACTGTCTCTCTCTGTCAAAATAAATAAATAAAATCTTTTAAAAAAAAACCAGTAGTTTTACATATGTTAAGTGGTTAAAAAGTACATAAATGCTACAATAAATATGACACTGTACCTTGAAAAAGACTGGGCACTTGCTAATAAAGGTGGGTGTTAGAAGAATTGCAGCTTGTGAGTTATTTTGAAATATTGAAAATAGGGTTATCTGAAATCAGGTGGAAAGTTTTAATACCAAATGTGGATGGACAGGACTCATAACATGTGGTACACTGAGATTGCTGGTAGGTGTTTGAAGTGTGTGTATGTGTACATTGTGTGTATTCCTATGTGGCTTGGTTTAGCAGGATGGTTTTTGCATAAAGCAAACAAGAAATGTGTATTATGCTCAAATTGCTCCCTAATATATCAATCATGTTGGAACACATTTGTTTCAAAACAAGTGTTATAGAGGAAATGACTATTACTTTTACCAATATAAAATGAATGTATATGTATATGCATATAAGTATGTATGTGTTAGAGTATGCTGAAACGTACTGTATACCTATTGTTGCAATTTTGCTGATTTGAGTAACTACAGATCTTTGGTTTTTTTTAGTGGCATTCACCTCTGTCTTATCCTCACTTCTTTTCTTCACTTCTCATTCACACTTCTGTTTCTCTGTTTTTCTCTATTCCTAAAGACCACAATATAAATACAAAGTACCACAGCTACACCTTCAGGTAGCCCAGAAATTACATTTATTCTTTTTTTTTTTTTAAGATTTTATTTATTTATTTGTCAGAGAGATAGAGAGCACATCAGGGGGAGTGGCAGGCAGAGGGAGAGGGAGCAGCGAGCCCAACGTGGGACTCGATCCCAGGACCCTGGGGCCATGACTCGAGCCGAAGGCAGTCGCTTAACCAACTGAGCCACCCAGGCCTTTGGCCTTTGATAACCAATAAAGGAGCCCCAAAGCAAAGAACCTGTTTAAAGTCTTTAGTAGCCTGTCATACTACCCATACACCATAGATATCTCTAGTTCTTCCTCATAATTTCCATTTCGAACATTATTAACATTGTGGCCTTGCAAGTTGTTTAAAGATATTCAAATTGCTTTCATAAAAGCAGAATATAGAAGAAATGCTGTAAGAGAAACGCTTTAGAGGTTGCACAGAAATGAAGTTTAATTGATAGAATGGAAAACATTTCCTGTTGTGCACTTGAAACTAATACAACACTGTTATGTCAACTATACTTCAATAATAAAAATTTTTTAAAAATCACACCCACATTTCTAATTGTACACTAACTGCTAATCCTTGGCCAAATTTGGAAATCTTTAAAAGGTCTTCTAATTAACTTCAACAAGATAACAAACTCAATTATTCTGGTTTCTCTTTCACTACTGTGCTGCCCATCTCCTGTTCTTTTTTTTTTTTTTTTTTTTTTTTTTTTAGGAAGGAGGAAGCTGAATAACAAAAATTAGGAGACATCCTTACTCCTACTGGCTATACTTCCAAAACACCAGAGTAGTCTCTTAAAGCTGAGAATGTCATGGCCTTTCTCACTTTTCCAGCACCACTCTGGCCCCCTGCTGGTACTGAGCTGCAGTAGCACCTGCAATATTTAGCCCCAGCATTAAGGTCTCCTATGCCAGTTCAAGGAAGGACTGCTTTGTTTCCCCAATGCTAAGATAGTATAATCTACAGCTCTATCTATTTAGCAATAAATAGACATAGATTTATAGCCTCCGAAGGCCTTTATGTGATAAGCTATTCTGAATATTCTTCAGATATCAAGCAGCTAGTTTCAAAGCTATTGTCTCTTTAGTATTAGGCAGTCTCTTTGGTATTAGGCAGACCTAGATTTGAATGAAAACTTAATGTATAAGTATTTTATATTTAAATTGGAGATAACAATATACAGTTCCAGGACTGGTTGTGAGGGTCAAGTGAAGTAATATGCATATGTAGCTGGCATTTAGTTAAGCACTAAATGTTAGACATTTCTCTACTCATATAATAAAAACTCTAGCACATATTAAAAATATATCAGTCCACTTGTGGTTGCCCTGTCACTACTCTGGAATGAGACAGATCCACTGCAGGACTCACAAGCAGTGTGTCATCAACCTTATTTATTAAACACTTAGTAGATACAAAGTGCAATACTAGGTGCTCAGATACACATACCCACATACCAATAAGCTGTTAACTATGTGTTTAAGGACTTTTTAATTTGCCTTATATACGAACCACACCAAAATAATTCCACTAAAACAATTCTGGATGCAGCATTTTAGAAAAGCATGGGATAGGGATAATACAGAAATCCTAGATGTTAGCCTAGCTTCATCATTTGCTTGCCTTGTGCCCAAGTCAATTAACATCTCTAAGCTTTGTTCTATATATTTAGGTAGGAATACTCCATCTATCTCTCACAGGTTTATGGAAATTTTATATTACAAAGACACATTAAGTAAATAACTAGACAAATCAGTAAACTAGAAAAGTAGTAAAATAGAATGGGTTTAAAAAATAAACTTTTTTGTCTATGACTTAACCCTCAAATCAAACTACAAAAACTTCCAGAAGCCACTATCATTGGCTCTACCACAACAGCGCTAAAGGAACAAGGCAAAAAAAATGTCTACCTCATATCAGATTATCCTAACCAAAAGATATAGTTGAAGTGGTGACAAGGGAAATGGGACTATTAGCCAACTGACCTCAGTAAAAAATTACAAGCAATCTCAAATGTTCTAGAAGGGTAAATTTGAAATTAATAGTAAATTACCAAGGAGATGCTCTATAATAATGCTTTATTTCACATTCGATTAATCCATAACTTGTATTTCAACAAATAATTTTTGGATAGTTTCTACGTGACACAAAGTAGTTTTCATAATGAACCTCAATTAATACTGTCAGTACTTTCAGGGTTACTTTTAGCTTATATGATGCTTTGGTAAGAGTCAGAAAAAGGGACAGCTGCAAGTCAAGCAGATGCATAGATTAACCAGCAGATAGAACCTTCGTGTAAAGAACAAGTAACCCACCCTCCAGGCAGATGCAGCCCTGCACCAGCCTGGCACATATTTTGGTATGGGGAAGGGGGAATGTGAGCTGGATTTCAGGCCCTATTCACTCCCTTGGCAGGAGTCTTTGGACAGTACACAAACCATACAACTAAATGTAATAGCCCTAGATACTTTATAATGGCAAGGCTCTGTTACATCTTTCTATCATTTAAAGGTTCAGGGAACCTGGCTGGCTCAGTGGGTAGAGCATGTGACTCTTGTTCTTAGGGTTTTGAGTTCAAGCCCCATGCTGGGTGTACAGACTACTTAAAAATAAAATCTTTAAAACAAAATGTACGGGATTCATTCATCCAACCATCTGAGGGCAATACGGTCTATGAGGATATAGGTCAGAAAAAGGAATTTATATTCTAATAGGGGATATAAGACATGTACCAAAAGTAACTATAGTGCAAGACAAAAAGTTATGAATCACAAAGGAAAAGACCAATGAAATACCATAAAAATTCAGATGAACCAAAAAATATGTGTATCTTAAAGAATCAGAGAATGTTTCATAGAGAAGGTGGCACTGGAACTCAGTTGTGAATGATGTGTATGATTTGGTCATGTGGAAATAGGAACAGAGAGGATTAGGAAGTGCAAGATGTAAATAACAAACAGTTTAGTTTATCAGATGCAAATGCTATAAGAATGGTAGTAGTAAAAAAAAAGGAAAAACAGGTTGGAGTCAAATTATGGAGAGCCTTTAATAGTAGGCTAATGACTTTTAACCATTAATTTGTGGGCAAAGGGGAGCCATGATGTAATCAAAACTCTATCTCATGACCATGAATTTGGTGGTCCTTAAGAAGAATCAAAAGAGCAGA